CTGCATAACATTTTCCCAGGCTCATTTTGTCCCAAATTATACCTACGCATACCACGAATAGCCTCGGAATGACAAGTTTTGGGAAAGAGTGATCTCTTACCAACATATCATATCAGTGTTCCATTGCATTAACAAACTTCCTGCACCGTTTTTGGACGCCTTTATATCAGAAGTGACCACCGAGTCGTTCCATCTATGGCTACTGTGTCAAGTGTTAGAAAAGAAATCGCAAACGCTGCCAGTAGCTAATTTGGGATGTTTTTCTTTTAGATAGGGATTCGCAAAAGCTGTTACCCTTAAGGTACTGGAATGGCTTAATTAACCGCAGGTAAAATTTTGTCGAGGAAAGAATATACATCACTCTTTCTTCATCCCTATTCCCTGATTTCCAGAAAAAAAGAGGGTTTAAGATCAGGGAAAGGGGAGGTGTGAATTCTGTTGGCGTAGCTGAGTTGATATTTAACTCTTAGGCATGTGGCTAAGCCTTTCAGGTCACAAGTAAATTGAGTCGTAGCAGACCTCCTTTCTAGGTCTACTTTTTCGCCGGCCTCTTCTCGCTGAACTTGATTGACTTCTGCATAATTTATGTTCTCTAACGCTGCACTTATTAAGAAAAAGTAAATGGAACGGAGCTGTTCTTGGATTATGCAGAATGTCCCCTGTCCACATTAAAAGCTCATTAGCTGCCTACTATTCAATGTGTTTTTAGTTAATAGCGGCTCCTAAGCCATTCTATGCAAAAAGTAATGCTGTAGTGTTATAACAAATGCACGAACAAAACACTAAGTAATAGTGAACAACTTTTTTTTGAAAAAAAACGATAAAAAACATGTGAGATGAAAGTCCTGTTAAATAAATTCTGACAAGCACGTGAGGCGAAATTTTTTTCAAAGGAGGAATTACTAAACTCAATTTAAAGATGGCTAAAACAGCAGGATTTATTGGATCCATGAAATTTAAGGAGAACTCTTCAGCTGCTGCCTCTCACTGCATAATATGAGTAATGAATGAGCAACTACAAAATTGAAATGGTACAGAAAGGTCCTAAAGGTCATAGAGTATATCACGAAGACTAATAA